GCTTGCAGACCACCTGCACACGGTGTATCCTCGCGGTCAGCCTGGTGTGGACACGACGCCCGTGCTGGACACAGGCTTTCCAGGTGTCTCTCTAAAGCAGACACACTAACACTGCAGCACGCTGACCCAGTGCGGGGAGCGGGGTGTGTTTTCCGCATAAGCCTAGGCTGTCTCCACCCCGAGACCACACGCTCTTACGGGTCAGCCCAGCGTGGGGGTGACGGAGAAGGCTTGCGGAATTAAAGATCTGGCAAAACTCTGACAGTCTCAAGATAAAGTTATATCAGAGCAAAAGGCACGTGAAGAGTCCTGGTAACTTCCTACTTTGTTCCAGGAAAATAACCCAAAAACGGTAACCCAGAGGAGAGGAGGGCAGGGACACTGTCTGGTTATCTGGCGCCCGAAACAGGCCGGCCGGCCCGCCCGCGGGCAGTGGCCGGAGCTGCCGGCGGAGCGCCCGAGACATGCTCGGCAGCTGACGCGACCAGACCAGCGCGGTGCGACGCGCGCAGCTGCGGGCCAGCGGCCACTCTGCTCTTCTCGGCTGCCCGCGGCGCAGGGCTGGGCTGCCCGCGTGGAGAGGGCGCCCGCTGAGTGCACGCTCGGGTCGGCATCTGTGCTTCTAGGGTCTGCCCGCTCCATGCGTCGGGGGAGAAGACGCCGCCTCTGTGCACAGCTGTGTCTGGGTCCCGCCTCGCGGTCTCAGAGCCGAGTCCGCCGTGTCCTCAGTCCATCTCCCCGCACTGGTTTTATTTGCTTCGATCTTAAAAGAACCGGCGTCTGGCACCTTCGTTGTTCCTGTTTTTGTTTCCCTCGCATCTGTACGCATCGCCATCGCCCTTCTGCCAGCGCTGCATTTAGTCAGTGCTGCCTCTGCCGGCTCCCAGGGCCGCTGCGGTCTGCTGACGGCAGCTGTGACCGCTGCAGCGGCCCCACCACTCACTGGACCCTGTGCGCTCCGATGTGCCGTGTGCTCATGCCGTCATTCTCCTTGTGACCTGACCGGTTGGTCGTTCAGTTCACGTCCACATATCTGAGTTCTTAACGGTGGTCCAGGAATTTCACACTATGCCCAAAGGCATGTGAGCAAAATGGCACCACGAGAGACAAAGTTCACTTTCACTGTCAATAGCCGAAATACTTGAATTACTGGGAGGGACAAACCGAAGCAGTCGACCGACGGAATAGTACACAGCAAGGAAAACGAACAACTATACATGATTCTCACAAACATTGGGCTTTAGATACTACCCCATCGCCAGAAAGCTTCGCAAATGAGCAATTCCATCATTTTTAAGTTACACAAACAGGCAAAACTGAATTACGTGATTAGGGCCAAGTGTTTAGGTAATTCAGCTGTAACTACAGCCAAAGGAAGGACTTCCCCCAGCGTCAGGTCAGGAGGGGCTCTGAGCAGAGGGCCCAGCTAGGCACGTGGTGCAGCTGCTGGTCACGCCTTATGAAAATTCGTTCACTTTTGAAAAACTGCCGTGAGGTGGACATTTGTGTGTGCTGTACTTCACAATATAAAAGATAAATACATTGGCTCAGAGTTACAAAAATTTCAGTCATCGCATAAAAGCAAAGCAAAACCCTTTCTGGAGAAACCCACCTGCAATCCAGGTCAGAGATTTCTCACTGCATCACACAGCTTCACCGTGAGGGAGGGGAAAAGTTCACAAAACATGGGTAGTCATCATTTGTGAGGGCCAGAAGTAACAGACTTCATACCTGGATTCACAAAGACTGTGGATGCTGTAAATAATATATAAGAATATACAATTAATAAGTTGCTCAACCAATTTAGAAAGGTAATGTGTGAATTTTTTTGTGCACAAGAACTGGGGTGTAGGGGAAATGCATAAATGCTAGCAGAAAAAGATGCTGCAGATTACTACTCAGGCGGGCATTAGAAAATAGAAGCTCAGGAAGTTCTATTGCCGAGTCCTAGGAAAACCCCTGGAATGACTGACTCATAGCCGGGCTACAAAGAGAATATCCCTGAGCCTCAGGGTAGGCAGCGAGCCGACATTCAAACCAACCTGCCAGGGCTCCCTGGTGGCACAAGGGGTTGGTTAGAACTCAATGCCGCGAGGCTCTGCAGAGCGGGTGCAGTCCCCAGCCAGGGAGCGGCCTCGCCTGTCTGCCCAGTGCTCCCCTTACGCACGCGCGCACACACCAGGACTGAGACACTACGAAAATTACAGGGCAGCATTAAGTCCGGAACATGGGCTTTAAAAGGTCATAAGCCAAACTGGCAGAACAGATAAATGCAATGTCTGTAACATTGAAAAATCCATCATACGCTACCACTCACAGAGTGAAGAAGAAAAATACTATGGATCAACAAATAGAGAAACCGTGCGCGTAAGGTCAGAGGCCCATTTGTGACTAAATTAAACAGGGATGAAAGACAAACTCCTATCTCCTAGCCGGGAAGGAAACTTCCCCTACAAGACGGTTGTCCACCAGGAAGCGACGACAAACCTCTCGGTGAAACGGAAACGGAGGCTGGCCAGCACCCGCAAGAGGCGGCCCGGAGCTAGGAAAGCTGCGCTGAGGAGGAGGCTGCAACGGGCAAGAGTGCGCAGGCCCGGAGCCCTGACGGCGAGGCCCTGGCAGGGGTGTGAGCTACGTCAGGACGAAACATTGGCCTTTCCATATGGCAGCAAGAACAGGTTGGAGCCCACCAGCACTCTGGGAAAGGGGGAGCCCAGATGGAGCCAGGGGCCCTCTGGTGCCCGTCTGGGGTGCACAGCTCTGCCCGGCTGTGCTTTCCTCCCGAGTACCGGCGCAGGGCGGAGGCCTCTGGCGACCGACGTGAGGACCATGTTGGTGAAGGGCACTGCCAGCCCTGGGGCAGGCCCTGCTCGCCCCCGAGCCTGCAGCTGGGCACCTTTCCCCAGGGGCCCTCCCGCAAGGGGCCTCCCACTGTCCTTCTGGACTCTGGCACCGCCCCCAGGACCCAGGCCAAGGCCCCTAAGGGTGGGGCTGCCCCCAGGGGGCACCACGGCACCTTGCCAGGACCCAACCCTGGCTGGCCCCTGCAGGCTGGCGTGGTCATGGGCCTCAACCCAAGGCCGGGGGGACCTGCGACGCCCGCCAGGCCCAGCCCCTCTCGGCGCCCCGCCCCTTGGCCGGCCAGGCGGCTGGGCTCGGCTTCTAGAACAGCCTCGCACACGGGCTTCTGGGCGAGCGGCAGGACCGGGCGGGGCTCTACCCCACAGAGCAAATGAACGCAGCGGAAGGCCTCTGGGTAAAATTAATGGTTTTATTTCCATCTTTACACTAGCAGGAGCCCAAAGAGGCTGCCGTACGTGGATACAGTTTACGTGTAACAAAGGAACACTGAAACTATGTACAGGAGGGGAGAGATTTTCATACCAACCTTTTCCTATTTTGCAGTTTCTTAGTAGTAGAAACTAAACATTTTCCCCAATTTAATTTAGTCCTGATCAACACCGTCTTTAAGCACAAAACTTGAGAGCTCTCGGCCGCACGGCTGTCTTGGCTCTGACGTAGGGCTGCGGTCCGCAGGCAGGGAGGGCTGCATCTGCCAGCCCGGGGGCGGCGCTCACCCCTGCCCTCCTTAACGCGAGTGAGGAGCGACCGCCCCTCTCTTCAGGCCAAGCTGGAGGCCAGCCACAGCTCAAGTCAAGGGTGCGGAATAGGACACGTTTCTTTCCAGAGGAGGGACACTCTTCGGCCCGCTGAAGTGGGCTCTGTGCCGAGTCCCTGCTCCCTCAGCCGGGCGCCAAGGTCAGTTATTGCTAGCGGGACGGAGGCCCTTCCCACCTCCGAGACACTGCGCTGCGCACGGAAGGCCACGGGTGTGGCACGAAGCCCTCTGAGGAAGGCAGGGTGCAGGTGGGGGCAGGCTGGCCCCGGGGCCTCCCTGACAGCCGCCGCGCGGGCACTCGAAGGGCCACCGTGGCAGCTCCCCCCCGCAGGGTGGAGCCAAAGGTGTCAGGCAGGTGCCTCGGGGCGAGGCCCCCACTTTTCCCACCCAAACCCGCGGAGCAGTCAGAAGCCCCCACGGCCCTAAAAGCTGCTGCCAAAGTGAGCGCCAGTCGGCAAGGCCCCGGCCGAGCGCCGAATCGCGGGGCGGCCGTGATGGGCAGCACGGGCACGAGGCGGCTGCTAAGGCCACAGTGGCTGCCGCCGCCTTCCAGAAGACCTGGGCAGCTGGCACCGAGGACCAGAGGCCACGTGGCGGGCAGAGGAGGGTCTGCTCAGGAGGGGACACTGCCCGGAGCCGCCCCGTTTACCTGGGTGGCGGCACCGGGTGGAGCGCTGTGGGGCTGGGCGCAGGTCCTGAGAACAGGTGCGAGCACGACAGTGGGACAGGCACGCTCCACGGCAACGCCGGCCCCAGGGACACTCCCCGCGGCGGCTCCTGGGAAGCAGCGAGCAGCCCCGGCGCAGGATTATTGCACACGGCGTTCTCGGGATGCTGCACAGCCCCGCGGAGGCACTCGCCGCCGGCAGAAGGCCCCGCACTGCCGCGACGCGCGTCAGGCTGTGGCGGCCCCGGCTCCCGGGAAGGACAGTCCAGCGGCCGGCTCCCCAGGCCGTGGTTGCACTGGGAGCCTCCGGCTGGACGGACCGCACCCGGCTGGGTCACTGGTGCGCGGACACCTGGGGCGAGGCCCCCGCCACGCTCTGGCCAGGCCCAGCTCCCCGTCACAGCCAGCGGGAAGCCGGGACAGACCTCCGAGCAGGGAAAACTCCTTGGCAGGTGGGCAGGCTCCGGAAGAGGCTGGACCTGCCTCTCGATGCCAGCGGGGAGCAGACCAGCCGGGGGCACGGCTGTGCGGGCCAGGCCTGGGCTCTCTCTCCCCAGCGTCCACCTGGAGGCAGCGGGGTCTACAAGAGTTGAGAACAAAGAGCAGTTTACGTGTCAGACGCTGGTTTTCACTAGTCTTTTTGATCTCGGGGAACTAGAGGCAGGCGACCCGTGTAAGGCGTGTGGCGAGCCCAGCCAGGCCGGCGCGTCCATCTCCCAGGGCAGCTGTCACTCTTCATATATAAATGGGGTGGTATCGCTTGTGGCTGATCTTTTTCCTGCATGTTGGGCAAGTGTTAGCGTTCTTGAGCGCGTCGCGGAGACACTGGCTGCAGAAGACGTGGCCGCACTCCGTGGACACAATGAGGCGGCCATTCTGCACAATCTGGAACACAGAAGCACGCCTGGCGTCTGCCCACCCCAGCCCCGGGCAGCTCAGGGCCAGGGCCCGGGGACACCCACAGAGCCGGAGGGACCTGCAGGGCCCCAGGCCGTGCCCGCCGGCCGAGGGAACGCAGTCAGGGCTGGCGGTCACGGCCTGAGGACAGGGACAGCTGTGACGGCCGCGTCCCCCGACCCCTCGGGAAGACCCGCCCCTCATGTTTCTCCCAGGGAGCCAGAAGCGGGGCGTGGGGGGGGAGACACACAATAGACAGCAAGGGTTGCTCACCTCTGAGTAGCCGTCCATGCAGATCGGACAACTGACGGTACCGGAAGGCCTAGAATCACAGTGCTTCTGGTCAGTTCCTCTGCAAACTCACTCATGTCCCCACAAGAGCCTCTGACGCCGCGTTAGCACAAGCCCCGGGAGCCTCACAGGACAGCTGACTGCCCGGGGGCGCAGGGGTGGGGGCGCGAGCAAGGGGAGAGCTGGGAACAAGAGAAGGCGCTGGCAGCCTGAGTCCCCACCCGGCCCCCAAACCTGGCAGAGTCCCTTCCAGCCCGCCTGGGGCGCTGCCTGCCCACCGCGGGGCGGGGACGCAGCAGCCGAGGCCTCCACCCACCGACAGGCTGCGCCCCCCAGACACACGGCCAGGCCAGCCCAGACCCAGCTGAAGCCGCCCCGAGGAAGCCCTCCGGCCAGGCCGGTGCTCAGCACAGACCAGCACCGCCCGCAGCCCCTCGGGCCAGGCTGCCCGCTCCCAGACGGACACGCAGGGCAGGGGAGACGAGCGTCCCCGTGGGGCTGGGGGCCCACGTGCCAGTGGCTTTCTGATGAGCAGTGGCTGCTGGTACCTGAGTCCTGGGGCCCCCTCTTCCCGGGCGTTTCTGGCAGAGCGGGCGGTGACATACACGTCTCTGTCCCGGGACAGCTCTTCCTCGTCGCTGCTCACCACGCAGCTGTCAGCAGGGTCCTGGCGAGGCCGCCTCGTGTTCCGCCTGGGCCGCCTCCTT